GTATTTAGTTTCATGTCTGTCTTCTTGTACTTAGCTTAAGGCTTTTAAATGTAATCCTCTTCCCACTGAATATACCTATAGATCACTTTTTAATGGCCATTGTATAGAAGATCAGTTTGTTTTCCCTTCACCAGGTGTTGGACATTTAGGTTATTCCCAGTTTTGTTTTGTTGTTGTTGTCGTTTTTGTCTACAGAGTTATGAAATTAGTACCTAAGAACATCAGTGTGTGAGTCTTTGTGTGGACACACGCTTTCACTTTGTGTCAAGGAGAACTGCTGAGTACTTTGGTAAGTCTAGATTTACCAAATTTAACCTAATAAGGAACGGCCAATCTGTTTTGCAAAGTGACTGCCGTTTTATGTTTTCACCAGCAGCACGTGAGAGTTACAATTGCTCCACATGCTTTTTTTTTGTTTAAGCTTGGAGATGGCCTTAGCTTGTACTGCTGTAACAAAATGCCATCAACCAGGTAGTTTAAACACCACCAGTTTATTTCTCTCCGTTCTGGAGACTGTAAGCCCAAGATCAAGATGGCAGCAGGCGATATCTGGTGAAAAATCTTGGCTTGGTTACATAGAGCCCTTCCTTGGTGAGTGTGGCTGGAGAAAATCTTGGCTTGGTTACATAGAGCCCTTCCTTGGTGAGTGTGGCTGGAGAGGAAGGGAGAGGGGACAGGGAAATCTCTTCTGTATTCTCCTGATAGGGGCACTAATCCTACTGTGAGAGGCCTGTTATCCTCCCCAAAACCCCATCTCCAGATACCATCACAGCAGGAGTTATGGCTCCCACACAGAAGTCCCTTACTAGCAGGGACGAGTGCCCTGAGCAGGCTGACGACCCCATCTCATGGACATGACACCCATGTTAGCAGTCAGGGTAGTCTGGAGAGAGGACTGCTTGCCCCCAGCACAGTCCCCAGGCTCTGGGAAAACTACTGAGCCACTGGGATGTGGAAAGCTGGTATGTGGGGAGGGCTCTGCAGGTGTGTGCCAGCCCAAGCCCTTCCTGGCCTTCTCTGCAGGGTTGCTTGCCTGCTGTATGTATGGATGTGTTTTGAGGGAAATCACAGTAGTGGGCCACACTCTGAAGCTCTGGACTCACAGATGGTCTCAGTCTCTGTTCTTCCAGAGGGGAAGGCAATTGTTCCTTTAGAACTGGTCCTGGTTGCGGAGGGAGATGGACAGATGAACCATATAGAAAACAAAGAAACCAATCCTGTATTTTGCAGTGTTTCTCTACACTGAAAAAAATGTAGCTTTGAGACACTAATGTGGCACTTCTCTGTGCCCAGCCCTGTTAAGCCCTTTGAAATACCCGTATGAAGTCACATGTCCACAACACTAGTAGTGATACAGGATAATGGGTTTGTTGCAGAAATAAGACTTTACGTGGTGGAAGTTTCTGGTGATGGCATCCATGTAGGGCCACGCTTCTGCCTGTGGTGTTGGGCCAGGAGTCATAGAGGCTGCAGCCAGGAAAGAATTGGGACCCGACAGAGAGGCACAAGCCCAAACGGGTGCCTGTGAAGACAGCTTGGAATTATACCCGACGCCACAGGCTTCAAGATGTGGGTGACCTATAGCAGAAGCTAGTACCATGTGCCACACAGCTGCTTGCAGGCCTGGCTTGGGACTTGGAGCAGCTACAGGTTGGGCTGTGTGGGGCAGTGGGTGAGAGGTTGGCCTGACTGTCTCCCTACCTTCTTTCTGCCATGGTGAACCTCTGCGTTGGTGTAAACACACTGGAGCTGCAGCAGAGCTTGTGCCCCATGTGAACTTCAGGGACTGACGGCTTCTGGTTTCTTTCTGCCTTCTACATGTCATGCACATGCCTCTGGGCCATCTTGACCTCAGAAGCACTTAGGAAGAGATTTCTGGGAAGTTTGATCCAGTTCAGCTCTGCACACCCAGTCTGCAGTCATCATGGGCAACATTTTGCAGAGAGGGAAGTAGAATAGGAGAGAGAAAAAACTAAGTGACTTGCCCAGAATCATATGGCTGTTATGTGGGGTTCACTTTGTGCCTTTAACTACTGCCCAGTATTTCTACTTTACTTCATGAAGAACTTGCCCTCTGTACTCAGGGAGTGAACCTTAGAGTTACCAGTCCTTAGAGAGCTTCTTGGGAGAGAGAAGGGTCCCACACACCCCGCCCTCTTCATTGCTGCTGCAGATCCCAATCCTAGTCTTTCCTCTGTTTACTTCACCTCTTACTTTTTTTCTGGGTAGTAATTCCCCTGTGTTCATTTAATAAGAATTCCTACCATACTTTGGGCTTCCCACGAGCACTTAATTTTGCCACTTGGTGGAGTAAGCATGTAAGGTAATGTGTTTGGTCCCTGTAACAACAAATGCTGCCTTTTTATTCACCTCAGCTGCTTGGCAGGGGTTACAGGGGTCCCACTGCCACTTGCAGCAGAGAGAACTGAGACTCAAGTTTGTTTTTCCAGTGAGGGGAGGTTGAGAACTGAGCAGAGGTCCGCCGGACACATTCCCGAGCCACAGCCATTCAGGCCCAATTCAGCAGTGAGCCTCCTAGGAGGCAGCCCCAGGGAGCACTGACAGAACCATGACACTGCTTCTGAGGGGAGGGGAGGGCACGCCACCCTCCAGCTCCTGGATCCTCTGTGAGGCGAGCACAGGCTTCCCTCACCTCTACAAATTCAGGGATGAGGTTTTTGCAAGGGGAGAGATTAAATGGAGCCAGAGAGGTTTTACAAGTATTTGTCTTAACTGACACCCTCAGTCTCCCAGCTTGTGTTTCTGAGTCCTGTCAGCACCTGGGACTAGTTGATATATGATTCCTTAATAATGTGTTCTAGTTTACTCTGGCTACTGTAACAAAATACCAAAGACCGAGTGGCTTATGTAAACAGTAGCAATTTATTTTTTATAGTCCTGGAGGCTTTAAAGTCCAAGATCAAGCACCAACACATTCTATGTCTGGTGAGTCTGCTTTCTGGTTCACAGATGGTGTCTTCTTGCTGTGTCCTTACATGCAGAAGGGGCAGGGGCAGGGGAGTTCTTGGGGGTCTCTCTTACAAGGAAGGCCACTAATCCTATTCACAGGGGCTCCACCCTTATGACCTGTTCACCTTCTGAATGCCATACCTCTAAATACCATCACTCTGCATTAAGATTCAGCATACAAATTTTAGGAGGCACAAGCATTCAGGCCATAGCACCATGCTCATAATATTTTCTGCAGGTGCACACAAAAATAGGGTGCATTGCAATTAGGCTAAATCCTTGCAAAAAGGGAGCTTGATTTAGGGGTTTTTGTCTCCTTGCCCCATTGTGGTGGTCTCTCTAATTCAGCCTTCTGCTCAGGAGGGACTCAGCGTTTGCTAAGAGACCAGGTTTGTCTTAATTCTTACTGATACTCTAATGAGGTGAAACTTCCATGAAGTAATTATTCATTAAAAATGTGTAACTTTAAAATGATTTTAGAATTATAGAAGACTCTTAAAGGTAGTAGAGGGCTCCTGTACACCCTTCATCCGGCCTGCCCTGATATTAACATCTCCCATAACCACTGCACATTTCTCTAGACTGTGAGATCTCAACACAATAATAAAGTGATAGCCTCCATTCCATTGTTCCCGTCTGTCCACTGAGGACCTTTTTCTCTTCCTGGGTCCAGTCCGGGATACCACGTTGCATTTAGCCGTCATATCTTTTCAGTCTCCAGTCTGTGACAGTTTACTGGTTCTTCCTTATCATTCGTGACATTGATGCATCTGAGGAGGGTCAGGTATTTTGTAAACTCTCCTGTTTAGGTTTGTTCGATGGTTTTTCATAATTAAACAGGTTATGGGTTTTTGGAGAGTACCATGGAGGCAGAGTGCCCTACTTGTCCCATCACACCCAGGGTACAACTTATCAGTGGTGATGTTAACCCCGCTCACTTGGTGAAGTGACATCTGCTGGGTTTCTCCACTGTAAAGTCACTCTTTTCTTCTTTCCCCTCCTTTGCTCCATTCGTGTCACCAAGTCCAGCCTGTGCTCAAGGGCAGGTGGTGAGGTGAGGGGTTAATTCCCACATCCTGGGGCAGGGAGTAGCAGAGAATGTGTGAACATACATGGCGAAAACGGCCACTGCCACAGACTTGCATTTTAGGGGAGAAGCTCTGACGCTGTACAGATACCTGTTTTCCAGTGAGGCGACTTTTCAGATGACTTTGTTCCGTTCTGAGCCCAGGGAAACAGGCTGTCGCCTTCTTAGCTCTGTCATTAACTTAGTGAATTTATTAATAAAATGCTTAAGGAGAAACCTTATTTCTTCGTGGATGTACGATGCTGTATCAGATCCCTGCTGGTGGTTCCATTTTAGTTCTGGAGGACCTGGAGGCTGTGTCTCATGGGAAGCAGAACAGCTAATGGGCCTCGTGTCAGGAGATAACGATACTGGCGTTGTGTATGTGACTCATTCGTTTGCTAGCAAACGTAAGGATCAGAGGTGTTAAGATAACGTCAATAGCAGACCGTATTTTTAGATGCCATTTTCCCCACCTTGAAGGCTATGTATGAACTTTCAAATATGTGCCTTTAAGGAAAAGGCATTTTCACTAGCTCTGGCCATAACCGACCTTGTGGCTAATTCAGTTGGCTCTGTGTTTAAAGAGTTCTGAGGCCGGTGATGTGTTTCAAAATTCTCAGTCACTTGCTCTGTGAATTACCTGTGGAAAGCTGCTTAGACGCCATTTTTAGCATTCTGACCAGCTCTATTATTGATCCGTGGTTGCCATTCAGAATAGTGGGAAGGTGAATGTCTTATAGGGAGAGAAATACACAATGGGTTTCTAAATAAATATAAATCTGAATATCAGCTTTCATCATCTTTTCTAGGAGTTAACAGAAGTATGGAAGAGTGCGGCACACCCCACCTGGTGGCAGCGTACCCGACTGACTACTTTTTCACAGAACAAAGCAGATCTTTAAGGCAAATGTTCTGCTGTAGCAGGAGGCAAACTGTTGAAATCTGGAATTTTCTCTTCTAGGATGATTTCCTGTTCAGCGTTTCCATCTTAAGTGGGATCCTTTGCAGCATCCTGGCTGTGCTGAAGTTTATGCTGGGGAAGGTTCTGACCAGCAGAGCACTCATAACAGATGGTGAGTAAGGCCCTGGGGCCTGATCTCTGAGGCTGAGCTCACAGTGTGGGAAGATGCTGTCGGGGTCATTTCGTAGCTGCTTATCTTGCAGGAGAACTCAACAATTTAGAATCCATTTCCCCCGCCCCCTCCTCCACATGCCGTTTAATGATTCCCTGGGCTCCCGTAACCGGGTAGACATATCATGGCCCGAGAATTTAATAAACTCTTTGTGAATCCCCTGTATCCTGACCTAACAGGGAGGCTCAGGACTCCCAGTCTCTCAGTCATAAAACACAAAGGGCTTCCCAGACTCTTAGGTTGAAAGGTTCTAAGTAAAATGTAAAAACTCCCTCCAAATATTTCAACATTTTCTCCATAAATTCTCCAAGCTTGGTTTTCCCTCCAGCTAGGGAGCTGCTCACACAAGGTTGCAAGGACCAGGCACCTGCACTGGGGCAGTCATCCATGAATTCTCTGCTTAAAACCCAAATCAGATAGGAAAGCCTTTGTGTGTCCTTGTGGGTCGGGGGCTCTTCCTGTGTGGCCCTTCAGAATGACAGGGACTAGGGTGTGAGACTACTGGTGAAGTGCACACTGGCCCCCAGTTAGCAAACAGGATTTGACAAACAGAACCACCTGCCCACTTTACTCTCATTCATTCCTGAGATGTGCAGTCTAGGGGCTTGTAGTAGAGTACTGGGCGGTCAGTGTGTAGGCTTAGGATGTATCTGTACAAAACAGAGCAGAAAGCACTGCGTTGACTTCTTTTCTTTCTCCCTTTCCCATCTTTGTCTTCTTCCCTCCCTTTCTTTCAAGTACAGAAAGACTCCTCTCAAACGCTGAGTTCTCTGACAAGTGAAATGCCCGAGGGTGGGGAGCGGCTTTGGGCTGAGAGGATGCCCTACCGCACAGTGACATAGGATAGGCTCTTATCCCTCTTCCTGGCCCACGTCAATGCCTCATTCTGTGTGGAGCTGGGCTTTACACAGTGGCATCCAGGGACACAAGTCAAAATGTTTCCAACCAGGGGCTGAGTTCAGGTGTGAAAATCTGTCCAGTCCCTGTCTACACTGCTGGCTCTCCACTTCCTGTTCTTGCCTGCAGTGTTGTCTCCTGAAGGCACTAGGAGGGTCCCAGCTATGTGGCCCCAGCTGCCTTGGCAAGGGCATCACCTGCGCAGAAGGATGCAGGTGGGGATTCCTTTGAAAGGCCTGAAGGAGCGGGGTTGCGTAATTTGACATTCTGACTGTAAAACAAGGGGACTCAGGTCCTAACCAGCTGATGCCTATAGCTAGCCTGGCAGCATTAAAATTGTTAGGTCGTGGTGAAGTGTTTGTTAAAAAGGCCTCACCTTTGAAGATTCTGATCCAAAGGGCAAAAAATTGAGGTGGGGCCCAGAAATAGGCATTTCATAGCAGTGGCTCATGTCATGCACACGGAGTTTTGTGCTGTCTCCAGGGCTACCTGAGGGGTCTAGGCACAGTGTCACCCCAGGACAGTGGACCCTGCTGTGCTCAGTGTCTCCTGAAAGAGCTGAAGGATGAACAGGCAGTCAGCTGTTTGAGTTTGGGTTCCTAGTTGCCTCTGAGGTCCCTGTAAATCTCTCTGAGGAACACAGCCCTGGCCTTGCCTTAGGGCCCTGTCTTCTCAGAGCCTTGTGCTGTTTTTCCCTCTCCCTGTGTCTTCTTACCTGGAACACAATTGGTGGGGTAGCCACGCCTGGGAGACAGCACAGACAGACAGCTTTCTGAACTCCTGGGGTGAGGATGCAGTGGGCAGCTGGGGGCCTGTTTCTGCATTCTCTGGTCAGTGCCCTTGCCCCTCTGCTTGCAGACATCTGGTGTCTCTATGACTCGCGCGGACTGCAGTTGGGCCGCAGGAACCTGAGTGTGGACCAGCAATCAGACCCAACGTCAGAACTGCCCCTGACCATGGAGTGTTCCTCCACCCTGAACAATAGTCCTTTTGCCTTGGCTGCTGGTTTTCCCTTAACACTATGGCTATTTCATGTCCAAATTTCTATTTAGGCAAAGTCACTGGACTCCCCTCATTTTATATGGTGTACAGAGGACAAGCAAATGCTACTTAGGTTTCTCTAATAATTTCTGACTTTGACTTTCACCCACAAAACTACTGACACCAAAGCAGTATTTCCTCCATATTCTTAAACCAGGAAGGAGGGGGAAATTATGAAGAGAAGTGGGTGGTTGAAGTGAAAATTGTCCCACACACAGGCAAAAGCAATCCTCCTCCAGGCAGAGGGAGCCCGGTGGTGTGGGAGAAGACCCTGAGGTGGACCAGGGCAGGTCACAACAGGACCGGGGCTTGAGGGCAGGAGTTTGGCTATTTTGCTAAACACACAGCAGATGAGATGACGTGATTCATGTGCTCTGAAGAGCCTCCTGGTCACTTGTGGTGGGGAAAAAAGTGGAGAAGACTGAAGGGCTGAGAAGGCTCTGGGGAGCTAACGAGAACGGCAGCTTGGATCCTGTGAAGACAGAGCGGGTGGAGAGAAGGGTGGGATATTTATAAAACAAGCAGGGCGTTGGGGCACATGGCTGTGGGGCTTTGCTAGGGGCGCTGTTCCAGGGAGCAGAGGCAGCACCCTCCCCAGCCTGTTACCCATAGGGGGCCCTTACTCCCCAGCATGGGCAAGTCTCAGTGAATGCTTGGTAGTAATTGCAGTCTCCTGCTAATTGTGTTGTCTGGGATGTTTTACTCACTCATTGATTAGCAGAAGTAGGGAGCGATCTGTAATTATCTTCCCTGGTTCCTCTCTCCCTTTGGAGGTGGGCAGGGTGGGGCTGTTAGTAATGTTGTGGGCTAAGGGGCTGGCTTTGGAACCTATACCCTGGGATGCTGCCCTGATGAGCTGAGCCAAGTGCCTTTTCCGTGCAAGGAAGTGGGTTCAGAAAACTGCTACTCCTGTAGGGAGGGAAGGGAGGCCCTTACGCGTCACAGATCTCTCTCTAGAGCCTTGTAAGAACTGGGTCACAGTGACTGCCATGTCCTTTGTTGCACGGGTGTGTCCTTAAAGCTAGGAAGGAGGTTTGCAGGAAAAGGGGATAGGCGGTTGTGGATAACAAATTTCAGATTTGCCCACTTTGTTAGGCAGATTTGGTCTAGTTTGATTTTGTTGCTTTGGATATAGTCAATGTACATATTATAGTTGGGACTAGGATGAAACTTGTTTTGCATTAAACTGTAATGGAGGTTGGGGGTGTAGCTCAGTGGTAGAGCACTTTCCTAGCAAGCATGACATCCTAGGTTCCATCCCCAGCAGTTCAAAAAGTGTGTGTGCACACAAGTGTATGTGCATTGTGCAACACCATCCTTTGCCCGAGGGACATTCCAAACAGGAGCCCAGGGCTCCACTTCAGTTCTATCTGCGGGAACAGCTGGGGTGAGCTGGGAACTCCCTGTGACAAGGGTCCTGTCACAACTGTTCTGCTGTTTTCCAAATCTAAAATACCTGGACTCTGCTGATTTTCAGGCATGTGAAGAACTTTATCAGAACATTCTTCCTGGAATTAACATGGATAATTATACAGATTCTGAATCAGCCCTTAAAGCCAGACTGGAAAGGCCTCCAATCAGGATGTCCCTGGTCACTGTATTATGTTAACCCAGACAGACTTGGTTAGGACTGCTCTGTTGTTTTAACTGAGGGGACAGGGACCGGCTCATGTGACAGAGTGGCTACCAGAACCTGGTGTGCTACCCTTGGTGAGGTGGCTGGTGGGAACAGGACTGGTGCTCAATTTCTTCCTGCCGGATGACTGGCACTGGGAAACCTACAGGATTCTGGGTGTGGTAGAGCAGCTCTATTCTGCCTGTGCTCTTATGCAGGCTCATAAGAGGTGGAGCTGAAATGAGCAATTTGTAATGCAAAAGGTGAGCCAAGCCATCAAACAGGACCCCCTCTACCTCCAAGATGCAGGTGAAGGAGACCAGTGTACCTCGGGTCCTTAGGCTGGGCTGTCTGTGGTGCAGGCAGGTAGCACCTGATGACTTGGTGGAACTGAGTGGACATCTAGTGGCTGCCTAGGGAACCTCAGGCTCTCTGCATTTTGTCTAAACACTACTGTCTCAGGGCCACTTAAAAGTTCAGCAAGGGATGGCTCCCTCTCTCTAGGGATAGAAGAACTAAGGCCATGCCCCACATGGTTCCTCCTTCTTCTTCTCCATCTGGTAATTCACTAATTAATGCGGTGATCACTTGTGTCCCTGAAAAATGCCAGGCACTGTTCTGGGGCTTGGAATACAGCAAGGAAAGGAAATGTTCCTGTCTTTAAGTGTAGGTTTCTAGTGGGAAACAAAGATGGCCAAAATAGCATTTGAAGTGGAGAAGAACTACTGGGGAAAAAGAAGTGGTGAGGGTGAGGGTGAGGGGATGGTGGACAGGGAGAAAGCGCCTTAGGGCCCAGGCTCAAGGGGCAGAGTCCTGTGACTTTCCAAGTCATTTGGGAGAAGCAGGAGAGGCTGGGGCAACAGCATGAAGACTCGGAGCGGGACTTGAAGTAGTGGTAGGCACTTTGCCATGAGAGGGTTTGGGCTGTTGGTCACTTAGAAAAGGTTATGTTAGCACTCTGGCTGCTGTCAGGAATGGCTTGGAGGATGGAGGGAAAGCTGGTGAAGACTGGTAGTGGATGTATGGGTTGGGCTAGTGGGGCTGGTGAGAGGGCAGTGACGAGACTGCTTTGTGACCAGACCAGGTGGCAAGGATTTCCTGCTAGGTTGCTCTGCGGGTGTGCGTCACTGAGCTGTTTTGGGTGGCAGGAGGTTGAGGTGTTGAGTGGTAGGAAATGACTGGTTCTGTGCATATCCCCTGTCAGTCAGTAGATGAGGGGACAGGTCAGGAGAAAGGACAGGTATTTGTGAGACACTGCACGGAGGGCAACTGCAGAGGCCGCCAGGCCATGAGGATGGAGATGAGAAGCCAGCCAAGGAGGCTGGGAAGGAAGAACGGGAGCCAGGAGTGAGCAAGGCTGGAGTTCCTCGGATGGAGGGGAACCATTTCCCCACGTGACACATACTCGCAGATGACCCCAGGAAGGGCCTAGCAGGGGGAACCTGAGCAGAATGGGAGGCATGAAGGTTGTGGAGAGGAAGACAGGCTCCAGAAAGGGGTTGTAACGCGTGGGTGGTAATGCAAGCTTCATCCTAGAGGGGAAAATCCAGGAAAGAGGGAGGTGAGCAGGTCTGCAGCGGTTGTCCTTATATAGGAACAGAGACCGGAGAGGTTGCCCTTGAGTGGTGGCTTTGGTGCCGACAATGACATATTCTTGTCCAAAGCTAAGTGCTCTAAGAACAAGGCTGAGCACCAGAGAGACTGTGTGAGGCAAAGTCCGTAAGCAGGTGTCACAGGCCTGTCTGTGAGATGCCCATGCGGCCCTCAGGGTTATCTTGTGCTTATTAGTGGGGAAGAGTGCATGGATGTCCCCACCTTGGGACTGCTGGGCATGCTCCTGGCCCAAATTGGCTCATATCACTCCTGCTCTTCAGGCCTCTTGGGAATCGTGTTTTAGGGTGATTTCCATTTTGTTGCTTTTAGCTAGAGTAGGCTTTTGCATTCAGCCAGAACATGGCACTAGTAGAGAGAGGAAGTTGACTCTGGAATGAGGCATTGGGACGTGACTGGCCCTGTGTGGACGTGGAGCTCCTCTTGGGGGACCCCATGATGCTGAAGCAAGCCAGGAACTTTGATTCAATCACTGGGACAGCCCCGAGCCACTCCCTTCCCATGTGGCTTGTGAAACTCACAGGTGAAATCAAGTGTGATGTGTAAGTTGTGGGGACGAGAGGATGCAAAGGTGAGATGGTACACATTACCTCCAGTTCTGCATTTATTGGGGTTTCTTCAGCTGTGCAGCTAAATTAAAGCTTTGCAATTGCTCTTCTGGAGCAAGAGGTAAAATCCTTAGGTAGAGGAAACTGCCGAGGGGATGGGTGCAGGGTCAGGTAGACCCCAGCCCTGCCCCTCTCCGGGTAACTTAATTTAACCTCCCTCTGCTTAGTTGTTTTCCTATGGGTGAGGCAGGGATAATCTGATCTCATTGGATGGAGAAGGTTGATATGCAACTAAAACACCCAGATTGAGACCTGGCCCAGCAGACATTCAACAGGTTTGTGTTACTGAGGACTGGAATGTTTACTGTACACCAAGCACTATTGTGGGCTCTGTGGATTCAACAGGAAACCAAGCTCCTGTTTCTCACCAGGTTTGCATTCTAGTGAGCAGGTGAGGAAGACCAACAATGAACCACATGCATGGTCTGTCACTCGAGTGTAAGTAGTTGGAAAAGAGAAAGAAATGAAGGACGGAAACTGAAGATGGGGGTGATGGCTGTCTAGGGAGGTTCCCGGTGACACTGGAACAGAGATCGGCGAGCCATGTAAGTGCCTCAGGTTGTGGCTGTCATGGACAAGAGATCTTCCAGACACCCTTCTCTGGCACATGCTCTAGAACATGGAGGAATTTTGGTGGCTAATAAAGATGGCTTGGCACCGCCATCTGGCATCTCTCTGCTTCTTTTGCAGGCTTTAATTCCCTCGTGGGTGGCGTGATGGGCTTCTCCATTCTTCTAAGTGCGGAAGTGTTCAAGCACAACGCAGCAGTCTGGTACCTGGATGGCAGCATCGGGGTGCTGATTGGCCTTACCATATTTGCCTACGGGGTCAAGTACGTTCCTTTTATCTTTGCTTTGTTGATAGCCAGGAGCGTTGCTCTTTCCACCTTCTCCTCTAGTTAGGAAATGGCAGAGCAGCATCCTGAGAGTCACATCTTGTTCCCGTGCCCTTCTGAGCCTCGTCTATGTCAGGGGACCAGAAACCACCTCGCCCTGCCCCAGCAAGGCTCAGTGGTCCTTAGGGCTAGCAAGAAGTTAGGCAGACTCTTGTGGCACAAAAGCCTTAAGCCTCTTGTCAGAAAGGATCCCTTTATTTTTGTTTGATGTCTTTATCAAGTGGTCCTCCCTTTAGCCATCCCTGCTCTGGATATGTGCACTCCTCCCTTTCTCTCTACTGGTGGCTTTCACGATGTCTCTATCTCGCATTTCTGTGTGGCTTCCTCACCGTGAAGCTCTTCTTGCCACGCATGGCACAGCTGGGGAGGACAAGTAGCTCCACGGGACCAGAGCTGGACCCCTGACTTTATTAAAATGTTTCCCATCTCCCACTGTTGATGGCTCTACTGAAAATCAGGCACAGTGGTTGGCGAGGACGTAGAGCAATTCGGACCCACTGCAGTGCTGGAGGGAATGCACATCGTGCTGCTGCTTTGAAAAAGAAGTTGGCAGTTCCTCAAAATGGGAAATACGGCAATACCATTTGACTTAGCATACGCGCCAGGGAAATTGAAGACGCACATCTATGCCCAAACTTATACACCACTGTTCACAGCAGGCACAAACAGAAACAATCTTTTAGCCGAGAAGTGGCTCAATGTGGATCTATCTATACAGTGGACTTAGTCACAAAGGAATTAAGTACCAGGGCACACTACAGTGTGGATAACCTCCAACATGGTGCCACATGAAGGAAGCTAGATCAAAGTGCCACATGCTATGATTGCTTTTACATGAAACACCCAGTATAGGCAACTCCTTAGAGACAAGAGATAGTAGATTCTTGGTTGCTGGGGTAGGAGGACTGGAGGAGAGAATGGGGTTTTGTTACAGGACGACACATTTTCTGGAATGAGGGTAGTGGGATGATCGCACAAACATTTGACTAATACAAACCACTGATCTGTGTACTATTTCAAAGTGTGACGGCCTGTGGGTTAAGAAATGTCGAATTTCCTCCGTGCTTCTCTGAGCCCCAGGGCTGCGGAGGGTCTGGTGACCACATCTGTATTCCTCTCCGCAGGCTCCTCATCGACATGGTGCCAAGGGTAAGGCAGACCCGACACTACGAGATGTTTGAGTGAAGGTGGCCAGAGGGGCCAGCATGGGCCCCACATGCATGAAGATTGTCAAGGTGACCAGAGGTTCCCATGTAGGTGGACGGTGCCAACATTTAACTGAACATCGTTTGTTTTTTGGAAGTTTTCTTTCATACAGTTTGTCCTCACGAGCCAAGGTCTGCCCAGGGGTGGATCTGCCTCATGCCCTCACACCGTGGCCCCGACAGTGCCCAGAGGAGGGGACCCGCTTCCCCACCTGGAGCCGGAACTGATGTTTTCTATATTCTGGAGTGAAACAGTTCTTGTGGGTAGAATAAGAGCCCACTCGTGGTTCTCTAAGCCTGAAACAGATGGTGACTGACCAGGTCCACCTCCTCAGTAGTGTGTGTGGCCCCGGCCACCACCTAGTTCCAGTCTCTCCTGGAATATTTTAAGGGAAGACTGTGCCCTTTTGTTCCTCATCCCCATACACACCCACCACCACCATCAGTGTATCCTTCTTGATTTCTATTAGTGAACTTCATTAGTTTCATACTGTTTTACTAATGCTAAGTCTAAACAGATTTGTTCACAAGGAAACCATTCTATTTTTTAAAGTACTTAGTGAGCTTTGCATGGACGAGCTAAATAAGCACATAATCCTTTCTCGTATGTTCAGAACCTGCACATCCATGTAAAAACAGGATCCATTTTTGAAAGATGTGAAACTACAGTTTATTTGTAATAAATAATGATATAACCTGTATACGCATATATCTATATGCTGTGTTAAGTGGTAACGGTGCGGTACAGTCTGTGAGATGGTTTTCTCCTCTGTAAGGAATGACACATTCTCAGCTGATGTAACGTTAGGTGTAGATTCCCTAGACCTGTCCCCTGCCCTGCAACATTCTGTACCTCTCACAGTGCTGCCTGCCCAGGCAGCAGTGTCTGGACAATAAAGACCTTTACCTGTTTTGTATGGTATGGGGAGGTCGTCTTTTGAGAGATGTCATCGTGTGGTGGCAGCACATGGGCCTGATGTCTTTGCAGTCCTTGTCATGGGTAGCCTTTCCACTGTGGCTGAACGATTACCTGGAAGGGGTTTCTTGTGCCTGGGGGTGAAAGCCGAGATGTTGGACTGTCACAAGGGGTGTCATGGCCTCTGTGGCTCAGCCTGACACTTTTATTAGGGAGAGCTGGAGGTCCAGGGAGGCCAGACTTGCTCAGAACATGGAGGTGGCTGTTCTCCAGGTCTCTCACTCCAGCATTCAGTGCCCAGTACCCCTGTCCCCTCCAACCAGTTAAAGGAAGGTACAGGTTTTGAGCACCCCTAACTGAAATCCAAAATGCTTTCTGGGAGCCAACATGCCCAGAGTGGAAAATTTCATGTCTGTTATCAGGATAGATCCGGCAAGTCACAGGTGTACTAAAGACACTGTGTATAGGTACACTGAAACATTAACTCAGTTTCCCACTTAGGCTTGGGTTCCATCCTCCAGACATCTCAGGTTGACGCACTCCCCTCTGCGTGAACAAAGCTCAAGGAGTGCTCTGAGCTTGGTCCTGGCAAATGTAATGTACAGGCTGAAACGCTTCGTCTCCTTACCTCCTCATCCTCGCCATCTTCGCAGCTTCTTCAAATGTGTTTTCAAGCCATGAGATGCAGCTGGACCACAGCCCACCTTGGTTCCCCTGCTGACCCTCTACTCATCCAGCCCCCCAAAAATCACTTGTATCTGTCACACAAGAAAAGTTTATTGAAAAATAAAGTTCTCCCTAGTTTTCTCTACAACAGTGGAAAACAAAGCAGTGCTCTCTATGCCAGCACAGTGCGTTTGGACAGCAACACCTTTTTTTTTGCAGAATCCTGTATGACTTAACCCCAGAAGTACACAGTAGAAAACGGCTGGACCACAAGTTGTTTGGAGACACAGATACAAACGGCTATTAACAATGTCAAGATTGTAGCAGTGTAACTCTGGTAGACAGGACACAACCGTCTCCTTTGGCATCATTTCACTACTGTCTTAATACCTGGGCAGGCCGATGAGCAGAAGGCTGTGTGTTCACTCATCTCGGCCTGGGGGACGTGATGGGCCATCCTGAGATCCTGACCTGTTGCCCAGCTCACTGCAGTGCCCTGTGTGCCCGATATGCACCCCACTCCACAAACGCTGTCCCTGACTGCTGAACAAGCACAGATTCCCCACGGTGGCACAAAATCTGGAGCAGAGAGGCTCTGAAGGTGAATTCATTTGCATCTACAGAATTATAAGACCGCTGGTCAGATGAAAAACCAATTTGGAAAAGACACCGAACTCCAAAAACTTTCCCCAATCCATCCAGAGTTGTGCCCACACGGGGCAAGAGATAGATAAAACTTTAAATCCACTAGGGAGGAATGGGAGGCTAAATCCCCAATAAGACAAACAACAAACTTAAGTGACTTGGAAAAGCATCACAGAACCACAAGCAGCCTCTGGGAGCTGTTCTGAAAGAGGCCCAAATCCCTGCTCTGTGATCTCAGCTGGCTCCCCTGAGGTGGGGTTTTGGGGGGGACCAGCATATGGACTTTTTTTGTGTGTGCTGAGCTACCTCCCCAGACCATTTTATTTTCTGACAGGATCATGCTAAATTGCCTAGGCTGGTCTTGAACTTGTGGTCCTCCTGCCTTAGCCTCCCAGAATGCTGGATTACAGGCATGTACCCACAGGTCTGTTTTTTTGGAATTAACCTTTAATTGGTAGACTGAGCTAACCAGCCTGTTAGAGCCCACGCTGGCCAGCAGGGGGCAGCAAAGGGACTCCCCAGGGGGAATGTTTAAATCAATTGGTCATTTTCTTTTCCCTTAAGGAACACAGAAAAGCCCCTCTCTCTCTCTCTCCAGTGCAAAGGAATAAAATGAACTTTAATTCTTGGGGTGCAGTGTGTCAAAGGACTTTTAATTTCAAGCTTCAAAAGTTCATCAAAGAAAAGTTCTGGAACATTCCAGAGGATATCAAGTGGGGTGAGGGTCAGTAAGTGGCCATACGTCACCTTTGCTTTTCATCTCCTTACTAAATGCTTGCAGCCTTGTTTTCACTGGGGGCTGAACTCTGAAAAATTTTCAAATGACTCAGTGCATCCAAGAATACAGTAAAATTTCAACTAGCAGGGCAGGTGTGGAACTTGAACACTCTAAACCAGTAATTCCCACAACAGCCTTCAACTTGGGATAATATTTCCATGTAGGTATTACTTCTGAGTAACAGGTAATGAGCTCAGCTCTGTTTTTCTCAGGTTTTATGAAATGCTAATAAGAACAATATTTTAACATTTACTAGGGCTTACTATGTGCGAGGCACTTAACTAAACACTGACTCCTCACAAGACCCTAAATGCTAGCAGAGCTAGGGTATCCAGGACAACACAGCTAATTTGGTCCTTTGCTACACGTAAAAACTTGGTGTTCCACTTGTCGAAGCCAACAAGAATGAAAGGAACTCACGCTCAGCTTTACAAAACTGCCTGCTTCCTAAATGAGCATGAATCTACATCAAGTCCTTCCATCTAGTCACATGAAGATGCATTATGGTCCCACAGGGAGGGATGGGATTAGAATAAAGCCAATACGGAAATTAAAATATTTTTAAATAAATAAAACAATCCAGGCTTGGACTAGCAACACAACAGAGCCTGTCGTTAACAAAATACCCCCCCGCCTCAAATCAAGAATTTGTGGGCCTGGGAGAGGGAAGCAGTATCTAACTATAGACACAATCTAGGTAATCCACCTTGGTCTACTCTGAAAAACACACATTTATACACAGTCATTTCTTTCAGTCCATCTCCGCACAATGACATCTTCAATTACCACAGAGTGGTAGTGGGAGTGGTAGTGTGGCTCTACTCCCAAGGGGAAGCTGATCACATTAAACCCTGCACTCCTCCAGGAAACAGAAAGAGAGGGTACAAGTCCTTTCTCCTTTCTGATGTTAACCAGCCTGAGTATTCTGGGCAATTGCTCTAGAAGGCTCACAGCCCCTTCTGGAGACTGGCTTTCTGCCTTGGCCATGCCTCAGCAAGTGCTGGGTGGCAGGGAGCGCAGACCCATCAGTGCCATCAGCACCCTGGCAGGCAGCAAGCCCAAGCCAGACCCGAAGATACAGCCCGCCTGGAGGGAGCCAGCCCTTCTGGCATTCTCACAGTTCTGAGTCCTCCGGGAGTGCATGTGCACACATGAATGCTGTGGCCTAGGGGGCATTTCTGGTACCCGGCCTGAACATCTGCACTCATCCAAGTACCTGTCCCAGTGGGAGCAGCCTGCTATCACCCTGCAAGAGCTCCCAGATTCCAAAACACAATCCCAAAGAAAAGTGAAAAGGCACATCAGGAAAACAAATACCACCAAAGAAACAGACTTGGCTATTTCCAAACACACAGCACACACTGAAAGCAAACTGTGATAAGCAGTGACAAAAACAAAATCAAAGCAAAATGCAAAGAACATCTCCATTTGTACATGTGCAAATCAAATTGCATACACGAAATAAATGAGGTGCTTACTGGCATTCAAAAGAAGTGTTTGCCCTTCCAGGAGTTTTTACTCCACAAAGTACTTACCTTACAAAGGAAAGTTTTCTCTTTCTTAATAAATTAGATAAATGTTTTGTTCCCCCCAAGTTTAAGACCACAGTGGGAAAAATAATCCAAAGGACAAGGTAAGATATGATTATAGCATAGGGAAACAGTGATCCTATTTTGGATTTCTCTCCCTGTGGAACAGTCATCAGTTACAAATTGACTTAAATTTCTATAAAAATCAGCAATAGCAAAACTGCTGCAGGCTTCTAAGCCCACAATGTCAGAGGCACCTTCCTCTTTTTTCCACACTGGCCAGGTGGGCTATGCCCCCGCAACTCCGTTTCCTGACCAAACCTGGACAGAGCCCGAGGAAGCCTGGGAGCTGGTGTGCATCCAGCACTTCTATTGATAACGCCTGTAACAACTGGAGCCCGAGCGTGGGCTGGTTTGGCCGGAGAGCAGCAGCCTCACCAGTAGATCTTCTGTTTACTTTCAGCTAAGGCTGCACTGAAGGAAGAGGAAGTTTTAAATGGGAGAAAGTGCTCTTCTGAGCTGCCTGACCTTGGGGTCTTTACTTGGAGAACAGGAAGGTGCAGAGGCCCTGAGCTCAGCAACAGCCAGGAAACGATCCATGCAGGCAGGGATAACAATGCTTTCCAGGTTTCTCGCTTTCTGAATTCCTGTGCTTGTTTAAACAGTGGGTTTAAAAGCGGCAGCGCCAGGGGAAGCAAGTCTTGACTCGTAGGCTCCCCCTGCTGGCCAATTGCGTGCATTGGCAGCTTGTGAAATACGCAAGAACACCAGTAGGGGACGGAGCTGGCCGAGGAATTGCAGGTCTGGAAACTCAATACACTAGGGTGCAGACAAAAGAAGGTTCACTTGCAGAGAAAAAGCCCTTCCTTACAGTGAGGAAGCCAGTTCTCTCCCCTCCTACTGCAGGAAGCTGCCCTGGCAAAGTTTTAAGAAACGAAATACACACTTTCCCTTTGACTTCCGCCCTCCTTACTGGGCCCAGGTAGAGGCTGTTCCCAGTCAGGTCCTGAGAGGACCCCCCCCCCCG